ATTCAGCCATTTAGTTTTTTTTATTTTTCAAGGAAAATTTAACGAAGGGACTATTTACTTGAGTATAACATTAAGGAAATCAACATGGGACACTGAAGAATCCTGGGACTAGCAAAGGTGACTGCCATTACCATTCTAGGATGCAGGGTGAGAGGAGGAAAGAGGGTTGCTGGAGCCAGTGAAGGAGACCATGGCAGGAGCTGTGATTAGGGTTAGGGGTGGGGGTGCAAGAGGGCACTGCTATCACCAAAACTACAGTGCCTTTCAGGACAGGAGCCAGGGAGAAATAGCCCAACCTCTCTCTCCTCCCACCTCCACTGGTGCCTCCCCTTGGCCAAACCCAGCTGGAAGCCAGGGCCAGGCGACCTGGGGCTTCCCTCTGTACAGGGTAGCCCCTGGCACAGAGGCAGGTGTAGGTGGGTCAGGCACAGCACAGAACAGCCAGCACTGGCTTAACCCAGGGACAGCAGCCATCCCAACCAGAGCACATGCCTTACCAAAATGACATCTAGAAAGCAGAGAGGGTCATCAGAATTTACTCAGCCATCTGGGTTTCAGTAACAATGAATACTGTAGAAGGCATTTTGTGTGCCCACATCTACTTCTCCTAATCTCATGCTAATTTTCTATATCAGAAGATCCTTGCTATCTCAGGGGTACCTCCCTCCCCATATCAGCCTGGGTCCCATAAAATAACACTCAAATTAGAAGAATTTGAACAGCACTTAATAAAAGGACTATTACTGAGGTGTGAGCAGGAGGTGGTCTGTATCTCAGCTCTGATATCAGAGCTGTCACCACCCCTAGACCTGAAGGTACCAGAGGAGGAAACAGTCATCTATACCAGTGGAGATGGCCACAGGACAGGATCTGAGGCCTCTGAGGAACAAAGCCAGCCCACCGGACCCTGCAAGGAGGGAATGAGCACCGTGCCTTCCTTTTCTGTCCCTCCCCCTGAATCCCGGAGCTCCTCCCTGGCCTCCAGGGCACAGAGCAAGATGGAAGCAGAGTGGAGAAAGGTGGGGAGGCAAGAGAGAGATGGCCAGGGGTGGGCAAGATGGTCCAAGCAAGGCCAGGGGGATGGCTGCTACTGAATCCCTGTAACTTGGCAGCAGATAAAGCCTCAGGCTTACCCACTGAGCAGCATCACCCCACAGACTGTCCCACCACAGGACAGCCACTGCAGACCTGCTTCCAGAGCTAGACTCCCAAAGCCAGGGGCAGTGCCTGCTGCCGGCAATGAAAGGGTCTTTTGCAAAATTATAATAGGTGGAGCACACTGATCACTGGGAGGGCGGAGAGCCACACTCAGGGCTCTATATCAGGAGGCTGAGCTGGCAGTACTCTCATTCAGCACCGGGCTTGCAACGCCACCACCAACCAGCCAGACCTAGGACGCAGATACCACCGGGGTCACCACCACCCCAAGAGCAGATTCTTCTTGATCCTGCTTTTCAAATTATTATCTCCCAAAACGAAGCCCAGAGCAGTGCATTTCCTCGGCTAAACCAAGGTTATGTGCCTCCGAGAAAGCCTGAGATTGAGAGTACCCAGCATTCCAGTTAGGAAGAGAATCCCCAAACATGGGAAGAGGTTTTCCACTCTGGGTAGCCAATAAATAATGTCCACTACTAAGTCCATGCGATCTGCTCAGCATGTCAGGGCACTTCCTGTTCCTGCAGACAGTATCTTCAAAGGATTACTGACTCCTGGTATGTGTTACCAAATTTCTTTCCCCGAAGAGTTAATCTCCAACCATATCCAGAGAACAGAATGCCTACTTTGCCATACCTGCACTCCCTATCATTAAAGGTTTTTTTAATAAAAATTAGTCAGCAAAATATAATTGCTACCTCGTATCTTGAGTCTCTCACCCCCATTTCTTTGGTTCCTATGTTTATTAGTTGTATTCTCCAAAAGTCTTTAATACTTCATTTTGGACACATTTTATTTGTTTTGATGATTGATTTTTCATTATTTTCCTTTTTTGAGGGCCTATGCTAAAATTAGCTTGCATCTGCTGAAAGAAGAGATTAGGATCAGAGTCAGCTGTGTGTAACACATAAAAAATACCCAGACTTAAAGTACATAGAAGTTTCTTTCTCTCGCACATGAAAGGGCCCTAGAGAAGGGCAGGCCAAGGTGGCCTTGGACCCACTCAACTGTCATGAGGGACTGTGCCGGCTGATAAGACTTCCCCCCTGCTGTCACGGAAGGGATCATGTCCAGCAGCACAAAGCCAGGACGAAGGGCTAGCTGCCTACCTTGCGACACATCTGTGTGCACGTTACTGCAAAAAAAATTTTTTTTGAGAAAGAGTCTCCCTCTGTCGCCCTGGTTAGAGTGCTGTGGCATCATCCTTGCTCAGAGCAACCTCAAAGTCCTAGGTTCAGGTCATCCTTCTACCTCAGCTGGGACTATAGGCACCCACCATAACACCCAGCTAGTGTTTCTATTTTTGGTAGAGATGGGGGTCTCACTCTTGCTCAGGCTGGTCTCGAACTCCTGAGCTCATGAGATCCTCCCACCTCCACCTTCCAGAGTGCTAGGATTACAGATAGGAGCCATCGTGCCCCGACTTATTACAGAATTCTGATGTCTGACCCATCTAGCTACAAGGAAGGCTGGAGAAGGTGCTCAGAGAAAAGTCAGCATCTTACTGCTCAGGTCTAAGAGAGGATGAATACTGAGGGGCAGCCAACTGTCTCTTCTACAAACAAGGATAAAAATTATATTGAAGACATGTCGCTCATTCACTTGGGAACAATCAGGATGTTTATGATGATAATACCCAACATTACTGATTGTGGCCACTGTTGTAAGCCCTTAACGTATGTTACTTAATCCTTAGCACATCCCTATGAAGTAGATTCTATTGCTATCTTTATTTTATTTTATTTTATTTTTTGAGACAGAGCCTCAAGCTGTCCCCCTGGGTACAGTGCTGTGGCATCACAGCTCACAGCAACCTCCAACTCCTAGGCTCAAGTGAGTATGCCCCTGCCTCCCAGCTATTTCTTGGTTACAGCTGTCATTGTTGTTTGGCCCCTGCCTCCCAGCCTCCCAGCTATTTCTTGGTTGCAGCCATCATTGTTGTTTGGCGGGCCTGGGCTGGATTCGAACCCACCACCTTAGGTGTATGTGGCTGGCGCCTTAGTCACTTGAGCCACAGGCGCCAAGCCACTATCTTCATTTTACGGAGAAGGAAGTCCAGGCACAGAGAGGCTAGGTAACTTGTCCAAGTACACCCAGTTAACAGGTGGTGGATTTGAATTTAGGCAGAATCCCTAGGACCAGACTCAACTATGAACAGAGGCAACCCTGAGCCAGCAATCAGAACCAAGCAAGAACCTGACTGGGTTCCTCCAAGGGGTGTATCTATTGACTCAGGAGTGGAGATGGGGAGCAAAGCTGCCTTCTCACTTTGCCTCTGAGTATTTCCTTTGTTCATCCAGTCAGCAAATGTGCTTCCATAACACACATTACATTTGCAATCCACTGTCTGCTCCTTTGGAGCAGATAATGTATCCCTAGTAGCCAACATAAAGCACAGCACAAGTATGGGCTCAAAAGACATATGTTATGTAAGGGAAGCTGGGCTTTGTGGTGGGTGCTGAACGTGCAGGAACCCCAGGCTCTGCCCGCTGGTGCTCACAGCCAAGAAGAGATGGGTTGGGGGGCATACCACAGGCAACACACAGCACGGGGACCTGCAGCGAGTGGTCTGGGGTGGCTAGACTGTAGTTTATGAGTTGCAGCTGTAGGGACATGGTTATCAAGGTAGACTGGAGCCAGTCTGGAAATTCCTTTCACATCCAAGGTAAAAAACACCTAGCCTCAGTGCTAAGGCAATAGGGAGCTACTGGAGGCTGAAGCAAGGGGTGACATAATCAAGAGTGGCCATCAAGAACAACTCATCTAGGCTCGGCACCCATGCACACTGGACAGCGCCAGCCACCTACACCAAGGCTGGTGGGTTCAAGCCCAGCCCAGGCCAGCTCAATAATGACGACTGCAACAAAAAATAGCCAGGCCTTGTGGCGGGCGCCTATAGTCCCAGCTACTTGGGAGGCTTAGGCAAGAGAATCACTTGAGCCCCAAGACTTTGAGGTTGCTGTGAGTTGTGACACCACAGCACTCTACCACGGGCGACATAGTGAGGCTCTGTCTCAAAAAAATAAATAACTCGTCTGGTGGTGTGCCAAGGGTGGAAGGAGAGCGACCAGAAGCAGGGAGATTCAGATGAGGAGGGAGACCGAGGCGGTGGGCCAGAGCAAGAGGTTTGGAAGAAGCAAAGCGGGCTAGGGCAAGGAGAAGCTAGAGGCCCCACACCCAGGGGATGAGCCAGACAGAGGGCCAGGGGGCTGGGGGAGGGGAGGGGAGGCACTGAAGTGGCTAAAGCAAGAGAAGCTAGGAGGAAGGGGGGCTGGAGAGAGGCCCTGGCTTGAGCTGGGGCAGACAGCAGCTGGACGCCAGCAGCCTTGTGCTCATGGCTCAGAAATGTCCCAGGCCTGCCAGGAGACTGCTTGGCCCCTGCTGCCCAGTCCCCTCCTCCAGCCCCAGCTAGGCTTCCACATCAGGAGCTCTGAGGCTGCCCCAGAGTGGCCCCCCCTCTGTAGAACCCAGTGCACCTTCAGTCCCCTCCCCCTCAAAGGCTGATGAGACACAGACTAGAGGAGGGATAAAGAATGAACAGACGTCTGCAGGAGGCCCTTCAGGAAGCAGGGGGTGGGCTGGGGCTGGCTGGAGTGCCGGGGCCCACAGGTCCGGTGGGGTGGTGGCGGTGCGGATGCAATCCAGGGAGCTGGCGGAGCCAGCAGGGAGTGAACGTCGGCTATGCTTTGCCCAGCAGGCCTAATGAGACACAGGTGGTCCCCTGGCCCATCCCACCTCCCAGCCCTGATAGTGTAAGTTGATGCGGGTCGTCTGGGAGCGGGGGCGGGGCTGGGGCGCTGGCAGGGGGCCCAGTGCATAACTCCGGGCAGTTGCAGGCTGAGGCTGCAGACTCTCAGCCACTCAGCTGAACTGACAGCATGAAGGTACTTGGCCTAGGGTGGGGAGACTGTTGACCTTGGGGGACTGAGCCCACTCTGTGGAGAGAGGTCCCTTGCCAGCGAGGGGACTGTGAAGGCACAGGGAGTTCTCACGAAACCCTTTAATTCTAAGAGTTTTGTGCCTGTCCCATAGAGTGAGATTACTTGGGAGGCAAAGGGGTACCACAGGGCAGGAAAGGGTTCCAGGCAGGGTGGTGCGCTTGTGTGCTGCACAGATTCGGAGAACAGGGTCCCTGGGGCCGTGCTGACCCTGTCTTCTGCCTCCAGGCCTTCTTGGCCCTGCCGCTGCTGCTGCTTCTCTCCGCTCCCCGCTGCGCCCCCCAGCTCTCCGCGATCCGAGGAGATGGTAAGCAGCCCCCACTCACAGATGCTGCCTGGCCACCAAGCCATCCTGCAGGGCTGTTTCCTCCTTTACAAAATGGGGCAAGTAGATGATGAGGAGCTTCATCCATCCCCCATGAAGAAATCTCAGTGTTTCTCATGACAGAGTCCCCCCTGCAGGGACTGAGACAAACCTCGGGTGCTGAGGTGTCGGCGATGCCTGAGCCCCTCTCCCCTCACTGTCCCCACATCCATCCCCAGCTCTGGAGAGGTCTTGCCTTCAGCAGCCTCTGGACTGCGATGACATCTATGCCCAGGGTTTCCATGCGGACGGCGTGTACCTCATCTACCCGTCGGGCCCCAGCGTGCCTGTGCCTGTCTTCTGTGACATGACCACCGAAGGCGGGAAGTGGACGGTGAGTGGGATGAAGGAATAGCAGCTGGACCTCATCATAGTTCCAGCTGTATGACATCAGACTTCACCTCTGCAAAGCCTGTTTCTTCATCTTTAAAATGGGGACAATTACACCTACAGCACAGTTTCTGAGTGGCTCCCAACACCTCACTCTAAGTGCTTGAAGTAGGTTAATAATGCCTGTTAACTCTCACAATAATCCTGGGATGTAGATATCTTTTCTAGTCAAGGAAGTGAAACCCAGAGAGGTGAAGTGACACAGGTCACACAGCCAGAAACTCTAGGTGCTCCCTCTTACCCCCTTCCCTTTCCTGCCTCTATCTGGGATGATATGAGAGCTGCATGGGTGCTGGCTCTCTACAGCTGCTCAAGAGGGTTTGGGCAACCCCAGCCCTTCCCCACTCAGTCCTTTAACAAACTGGCCACAGCATCACAGGATCCGTGCCTGAAGAGGTTAGACCCCTGCCCACTGGACCAGACCTGTCCTCTCTGCTCTAGGTTTTCCAGAAGAGATTCAATGGCTCAGTGAGTTTCTTCAGGGGCTGGAACGACTACAAGCTGGGCTTCGGCCGTGCTGATGGGGAGTACTGGCTGGGTAAGGTGGGGTCAGGTGGGCTGAGGGGCACCCCAAGGTGAGGTCCTTCCTAACCAGCTACCCCTCCTCCCCAGGGCTGCAGAACCTGCATCTTCTGACGCTGAAGCAGAAGTATGAGCTGCGAGTGGACCTGGAGGACTTTGAGAACAACACAGCCTATGCCAAGTATGTGGACTTCTCCATTTCCCCCAACGCAGTCAGTGCTGAGGAGGACGGCTACACCCTCTACGTGGGGGGCTTCGAGGACGGTGGGGCAGGTACTCTTCTGTTAGCCCTAGGAGGTGATGTGGGGGAGAAAAGGCAGGGCAGACCTGACCCCCTCTAGGTCCCTCCTTTAGCCCTCCTGGGCCTGGAAGGGCCACAGCTGGCTCCAAATCAGCTAAACCAGCTTGGGCCTCAGCCCCAAGGAGCAGACACTCTGGCCCTGCTCTAGCAACCCTGTGGAAAAGCAGCTGTTTCTCTTCACTGCAGCACATTTACCCCACATCCCACCAGGCTGCCATGTGATGTCCCACAGTGTCAGTCCTCACTGCTAACTACCCTCTCCCTGCCAGCTCAGGCTCAGCTCCCTGCCTCAGCCCCATCCTTACTCTCCTCTCCCAGGTGACTCCCTGTCCTACCACAGCGGCCAGAAGTTCTCCACCTTCGACAGAGACCAAGATCTCTTTGTGCAGAACTGTGCAGCCCTCTCCTCAGGAGCCTTCTGGTTCCGTAGCTGCCACTTTGCCAACCTCAATGGCTTCTACCTGGGTGGCTCTCACCTCTCCTATGCTAATGGCATCAACTGGGCCCAGTGGAAGGGCTTCTACTACTCCCTTAAGCGCACCGAGATGAAAATCCGCAGAGCTTGAGGGGCTGGCCCCCATCAGGCCCCTTTCTCCCTTGGCCATCCCAAGTCTCCATGAGTGCTCCCTCCGTGCCACCCCCATCACAGAGCCCCTGACACGATGTTTTCTGCTGCACCCTGGTCACCTGCTTCTCATAGGGGGCCTTGTGGCTCTCACACACCCAGGATGTCCATCTCTAAGCCACGCCCTACTCCCCTGTGCCTGAGGCCACACCACTAGCAGCTACCCAGGCCTTTTCTGGGAGGCACAGCCGTCCAGCTGCATCTGGCTGGGCTCCAGACTATTGCCTCCACCCTCTCCCAGGAGCCCGGAGCCGCCCTCCCGGATGCAGGCTTTTGTGTCCCGCCTTACCCAGCTTCTTTACTGTGGACCCCTATCTAGGACCACCCTACCGTTGCTAGGCTGAGCGGCACTGGCTGACCAGCGCCCTCAGTCAAGCCAGGCCACAACAGCTCTGAGAAACACCCCAGCACTCCCACTGGCTTTTCTCAGACTCCATCCTTGCCTTCCCTCCCTGCTGCCCTGTGGTGAGCACTATGGACCCGAGCCCCACTGGGGCTATAATAATACTAAGCTCCCCCACCTGGCTCTCCCAGCCCTCCAAAGCTCAATGCCAGAGGTATTCACCACCGCTAAGGCAGGTCACTCTGAAACTGCCACACCCCACATAGGCAGGCATGTACAAGGTTCCCCAACCCTCGGGGGCTGAGGTTTGGCCATGTGAAGGGACAGAGGACAATCTCTGTTGGGACTGGGAGCGGAGGTCTCAATAAACCTTCAGGATTTGAGTGATTTGGTGTCATGCACACAAATTTATCTGCTTAGCCACTAAATGTGGGCATTTGTCTTCTCCTTGTTCTCCTACTGATGGCTTCCCACCTCCAACTCCAGAGTTCACCAAGAGTCAGGGGCTGAAAGGAACCTTATGTTTCACAGCCTCATTTTCATGACAAAAAGACTGTAATAATAACATAATAATAATAATAAAAACACAATACTGAAAAGAATCACCCAAAGGGAGTCAGGGTCTCCAAATCTTTTCATGGCTCGGGGGTGGCTCAGGTAGCTGCTTAAGGCTGAAGGGTGGGTCTGAGATGAACCTGCAGAATAATCCAAGCCGAGCCTCACCTGCAGGGCCCAAGGCTGCAGTCCCCAAGAATGTTCCCATGGGCCCTGGAACTTGGTCTGCCCTGGCAGCAAGGCACAGGCTGTGGGCCTCAGGGCTCCTGGAGGTCAGGCAGGTCAGCCAGCAGCATGGGGGAGTCCATCTGGATCTCACGCTGAAGGGATTCAATATCGGCAGGGTTCATGCCATGGCCCTCGAGCCAGTCAGCAAGCAGAGAGGCTGAGAGTGAGGCTGAGTCCGCCTGGCTGCAGGAAAGGGAATGGGGGAGACACAGGATCACAGTTGGCCAAGGCCAGATCCTCAACCACCCCATGGATTTACTTCTCTTACACCAGGAACCCCTGCCAACAGCCCCCCAGGAGCTTGGTCCAGCCATCTTACCCATCCTGCGGCCCATCAGCCACGCCCATGTCGAAAGACTGGTTTAAGAATTCCTCCAGGTCAAAGCCAACACCATAGCCAGCCCCACTGCCCTTTGGCGTGCCTGAGAACACAGGGGGTAGGGGATCTTCCACCTGTGGGGGATAAGGGCAGGTTATGATTCAGGAACCAACAAGGACAGATTGAGGTCTGCAGGGCACCCTGTTCCAATGCTGCTGACTACTCTACCTACATACCCACGAGGGCTAACTCCAGTCTCAGCAAGCACTGTAGGGTGGCCAGAGCCCATCTCCAGACCAGAGACTTTCTAGGCAGTGTCTCAGTTTGTCTCCTAACACCCTGCTTATAGGTATTATGCTCCTTCTGAGAGCAAGGGGACAAGTTCACAGACACGAAGCCCTATCTGCTGCTCAGTTTTCAGGAACAAGAATGACTTCCTGATCCCATTTTCCTTGGGCCCAGATCCAAGTGTTCCCATGGCCTGGGCCTCTCTCTCACCTGCGATTTGGACAGCTGCTGGGTCACCAGGTTAACATCAGGTGACTCTGATGTGGAAGGCTGAGGGGCTCCCCTGGGGTCTGGAGGTGGTGGGCCAGATGGGAAGTAAGGCAGAATTCCTGGGGCACTGGAACCAGGCAACCCAGGGGGTGGCACAAGCGGCTGGGGAGCCAGGAGGCTGGTGGTGGTGGCAGTCTGGAGTGGAGCAGGAACAGGCATGGCCCCTGAAGGGCCAGTAGCATGGGATGGCGGGCCTGGGGGTGGGCAGGCAGGCTCGGGTGCAGGGCCAGAGGTGGAGTCTGCAGGTTGTGGTGGGGGGCCAACGGGCTTGGCTACAGAGCCAGGTGGAGGACTGGTGGGCTGGCGCAGGGGTGGCGTTGGTGCTGGGACAGGGGCAGGGGCAGGGGCAGGGGGCTGGGCCATGCGAGTCCAGCGCTCTAGGAGGCTGCGGTCGTTGTCACTAAGCACCAGTCCGGCCAGGGGGTCAGTGGAGGGGCCCCCAGGGGCCCCAGCCCCCCGCTCTTTGCGCTCCCGCTCCTGCCGCCGCTTCTCCCGCTCCTTAGCACGCTCCTGCCGACGCCGACGCTTCTCCTCCCGCTCTCGTTGGCGCTCCTGGGCTGTCACAGGCTTCCGAGGCTCAGGCGCCTCTAGGGGTGCACTAGGGCCATCTGCAGGGAAATTTGGAAGGAGGAAGTTAAGAGCCTGCAGCTCTGTTCAAGTCTAAGCACCCCCTCTGTCCACCCTACACATCCACAAGGCACCTCTCAGGCGGCTCCGCAAGGACTTGAGCAGGGCCGCTTTGAGAGCCGCCTTCGTGTTATCTGAGATGGCACCCTCTCTCTTTGGTGGGGCAGGCTCACTGGCCAGTGGGGGTGGCTGTAGGGTCAGATCAATGGCATCAGTTGCCAGGCCAGGGCATGGCGGTGGGGCTGGTGGGGGGGACTCCATGGCACAGTCTGCACTGGGAGCCACAGGACTGGGCATCTCCACATCTGGACAGCCAGCCTCACTAGCCACAGGCTGCAGGGAAGGCTGGAAACGGATCTGTTGGCGAATGCCCTCACGGCGTGCATGAAAGTCCTCGATCTCAGCCACAATGGCCTCCTTAATGCGCTCTCGGGTGAGGGCTTCCCGGTCAAAGGCAAAGTCAAAGGGTGGGGCACAGTCAGGTTCATCATCAGGGTCATGGTACTTGGCCAGGAAGGGGTGGCGAAGTGCAGCAGCTGCTGAGATGCGGGCACTAGGCTCAAAACGCAGCATGCGGCCCAGCAATGAGAGGGCCTGGCGGTCGGCGTCTGGGTACACTGTCTCCCAGGGAACAGGCTGGCGTGGTGGTAAGCTCTGGATATAGGCCCGTACCCTCTCAGCCCCCACAGCCTGAATCACAGCTGGTGATGGGGTACCCAGTACCATCATGATAAGCTGTAGCTGGTGTACATAGTTTTTGCCTGGGAAAAGCTGGCGTCGGGCCAGCATCTCACCAAAGATGCAGCCCACAGACCAGAGGTCGATAGCCTGTGTGTACTCATGAAGCGAGAGCATAAGCTCAGGGGCACGGTACCAGCGCGTAGCCACATACTCCGTCATGAAGTACTGATGTTCAGCAGGTGAGGTGCACAGACCACGGGCCATACCAAAATCACCAATCTTGAGCTCGCAGTTCTCATTCACCAATAGGTTGGAGGGCTTGAGATCACGGTGGATAACCTGAGCTGAATGCATGTACTTAAGGCCCCGTAGCAACTGGTATAGGAAATAGCGGACATGCTCCAGTGTGAGTGGCTGTGAGGAGTGGATGATCTGGTGCAGGTCACTCTCCATTAGGTCCAGGACCACATAGCTGGAAGGGGGCAGTAGGAAAGAGAGGCATGGGCTAGCCCAACCACACTCCAGAAATAAGCCCCATCCTCAGCATGCCCTCCCAACGCAAGACAGGTAATGGCCTTACCCTGGGACCCCGCAGGGGCTGATGGCATGGTTTGGAAGAAGAGCACCAGGTTCTAGATTCTCTACGACTTTTCCATGAACTTGGTTAAATCACTTTTCTCTCCAGACCTAGTTTCCCCATCAGGTAAAAGATGGGGTTGAACTACACCAGGGCTGGCCATAGGTTTCATTTGAAGGCTATCTCCATTGTTTGGTAGTGGATGCTTGAAGGACTATGATGAAAATTGTGAAAGTCTGTCCACTGTCTGTAGAGAAGTGTTCTATGATCAATTAGTGATGTCTGCTATGGAAGTAGGAGGGTGCAGTGGTAGCATGAATGTCCCACGTTTGACATCCTATGTACTAAGTAAGATTCTATAAAATTACAAAATCATCTGTACTCTTTTGAAGAATAACAATTGTCCCTACCAACACCCTAAAGCAGCAAAAACCCTAGATCTGTAGGAATGTTCCCAGCCTGCCTCACATTAGAATCATCTGCTTTTAAGAACTCCAGCAATATAATCCAGTCTTCAGAAAGTGATCCCAGTCTGCCTCCCTCTCCCATCCCATGCCTTACACAGATTTGAATTCGCCATAGGGCACGGTGGGCCTCAGGATGTCCTTTATGGCAATGATGTTGTCATGCTTGAAGTGTTTAAGGATCTTCAGCTCCCTGAGGGTCCGCTTGGCATTGGTCACCACATCAAAAGCATTAGGGATCTTCTTGATGGCCACCTGCTGGCCTGAGCAGGGAAAAGGTAGGTATCACAGGGTATCTTGCAGTAGCTGCAGAGTCACTCCCTAACCTCCAGCCCCTTCCAACTCTTCCCCTCTAGGATGCAAATAACAAAAGCTACCACATAGTTAGCGCTGGGTACCTGCTATGTGCCAAGCCCTGTGCTAAGCACTTTATACCCATCATCAAATTCTACCTTCACAACTACCCCAAGCGGCAGGTACTAATAGCTCAAAGTTACAGATGAGGGAACCTGGCTAAAAACTTGTTGGAGGCTGCACAGCTGGTTAGTGGTAGAGACTAAACTCTTTGTGCTCACTCTACCACCCTACACCCTACACTCCCTCTCAGACCTCATCCATCCTACCACAAACTCCTTATTCCAGTTTATAGCTCCAGAACACATTTCTCTTCTAGACACAAGGACAGGTTCTCCATTCAAACTAGGTCTGTCTGGGACTGTCATTTTTCCAAGGAGAAAGTAGGCTGACCAGATAGCAAAACCACCAGGCCAGAGTTTCACAGAACTGTGCCTAAACCAAGCCTGGCACACTGAGGCCTGCTAGTCAGTATTTGTTGAATTGAGCCAGAATTCACACCCAGCCTAACTTCCTGACTGAGACTGGGCAGGTTTCCCACTCCCTCTGGGAACCAGTTTCCACATCTGTGAGAGGCCCATGATACAGGAACTCACCGGTGAGGCGGCGGCGAGCAGAGGACACCACCCCGTAGGCTCCATTGCCTATGGTCTCAATGATCTCGTACTCGTCACCCACGTCAAAGGTCACATCGAAGGAGCGGGCTTTAAGCAGGGCCAAGTTCTTGGCTGCTACAGAGGCAGCAGTGTGGACAGGTTCTGCTTTCACTGCCCCGGGAGGCTCCCCAGAGCCGTCGTCGCCGTCTTCCTCCTTTAGGGGCTCAGCCATGCCGTCTGTGTAAAGACGCCGATGAGAAGTCCGTCCACCCCGCCCATGGGCCTCAATGTCCCCTCTCTGGGCTGATGAGCAGGACCGGGGAATTTCTAAGTTTCCTAAACTGACAGGGGCTGGGCAGCAGGCGGAAGAGAGCAGCTGGCACGTAGCAGACCAGCTACACCGGGAGTCGCTGCCCGGAGGAGGGAGCCGGGGCCCAGGTCGGGGTCTGTGGTGGGGGAGGGGAGTCGAGGCGCGGTCCAGGAAGAAAGGGAGGGGCGGCGCACATGGGTTTCCCCGGGCCACACTCATCAAACGGCCTCACCCCCACGCCTCCTCAAAGCTTTAGAGGTCCCGAGGCTCTCCCGACGCCCGTCCCCAGCAAAGGGGATTTTCCCAGGGTCGCTTGCTTACTTGTCCCAGGGCCGCCGCTGCCACCACCTCAGTGTCTCGCGCTGCCCAGCCAGTTCCCCTCGCCCCGCCTCTCAAGACCACGCTCCCTACTGCCTCTGGCCAATCGCTAAACTACTTCTCCGTGGATTCCCACCCCTTCTACCGGCTGCGTCCAACAAGAGCGTACCAACCAAGGAAGCCCCGCCTCGTGTGCGGGGCCGTCCAGCTCTCCGGCGGGAACCGCCCAAAGGGTGCCCGGCACTTAGCAGGAGCATGCTCCCCACCCGGAGCCTGTCTTCCGACGCATGCGCGTTGGCACCAGAGGGCGCCTAGAGAACTGAGGGCAACGCCTGTGCACGTACGCGCGCCGCACCCCGTCAATCGGCCAGACTTCTCCGGCCAATCACAGCTCAGGGAATGGCCAAGCCCTGGGGAGGGCCTGAGATGTCTACGACTGTTACCTTGCCCACCTGCCCCCGAATCCCTTTCTCCTTGGTCTTCTCTTATCAGTCCCTATCTCCCAGGGAACTGTGCCCCCCATTTTCTCAGGAGCTCTAGGAACGTATCATTCCTGGTAGAGGGTGACCCGTCATGGCCAACCACAGAGATTTCAGTCCTCCAGAATTCTAGAGCGTGCAGCCTAAAGCCGCCCACTGGCTTCCTGCGGCTGGTCCTCTCTGCACAGCTTCCGCCCCCCCGCCCCCCTCAGCGCGCGGTTTTCTGGCTTCCTAACGTGTGCTCTTTGCGCGTTTCTCTGTGTAGCCACTCCCGCGCTCTGGGCTGCAACGAAGTCAAGGAAGGCAGTGGACTGGTCTGCCCAGTCTCTGCCCCTCCGTTGGTCGGCGGAGTCCTCACTGGACCCCAAGTACCCCGCCCCGCCCCGGAACGCGATAGTTGATAAATTCATTCTTCTTATAAGTGTTTATCGAGCACCGTCTCCCTGAGTCTCAGTGCTCAGGCAGCAAAAAAGTGGACGTGGTCCACTGTGAGCTGATGTAAAGGTTGTCAGCAGGGAGACAGAGGAAGAAGCGGTTTGAGGGTTGGGACTCCAAAGATGGCTGAGAAAGAACAGTCCTGAGCTGAGCGGCAGTGTGGAGGCCAAGAAGGGGAGGGACACAGGCTCTCTACAGATGTGGAGAGATGATGACTTATTAATTGAAAAGGGGGAGTTCAGGAATAAAGACTGAGTCACAGATTGACATTTTATCCCTTAATTCCCAGAGTAATGGCACAAGGTTGGATCTAGACCATAATTAAATTTTGGTAAGCCTATATTTGCCCTCCACTACTGCACCTTTGTTTTTTGCTTTTTGCTAAGCCATACTTAGAAAAAGTTGTGTATCATTGAGATGTTATGCTGATATTAGGCCTAGACTAAGGTAGAAAAATACCAGTTAACTCCTGGCAAATTTCTGGGCTGTAAGTGCTCAACAAAATGGGGTAAGTCTGGTTCGCTCCCAAGATAGATGGGAAAGCCACTCACTGTCTTCTTGCTTGACTAGCTCCCCTGAGAAACGGACTGGGAAGTACCATGTCCCTGGACTGACCTTTAAGAAATACCAGGTGGAGAAAGTACTGAAACAAAGATGTATAGCTAACTAACTGCAAGATTCTGCTTCTGTACAATGCTTGCTACCCTACCCGGATGCACCTGGGCAGCTTGTGTGCCAACCAGGATGCCCACCATGCCTTAAAAACCCAACCCCGTAAGCACTCAGGGCTGCTCTCAGAAACCCCATGTTGGGACACTAGGCAATTGCTGGCAGGCTCTTCAATAAAAGGACTCCCCTTTACATTTGACTTGTCTAGCAGTATGGTTTTTGAGAGACTCCTGGGCATAACAATGAGACATGAAAAAAAAGAAATGGAGTCCAGCTTCTGCGTGGGCAAGGTGGCCTTTATTCACTCTGGAACCAGTCTGAGTTCAGAAAAGGAAGTCAGTGCAGGGGGTGGGATGGTGCACTCATTCCTTTCTGGGCCAGACTTGTGCACTTCTTTCTGTGTTCCTGCTGTCTGTTCTGTTTGGGGTAAGTCTCTGCCTTACCACCCTGGGCCTTATCACCCTGGTCTTTATAGTCTATTATTAGGAGGCAGAGTGATGGGCATGGTGTCTCTTCGTTTCCTGCAAGTTGAGAGTAGGAGTGGGCTGCCTATAAGGAAAAAAGAAGGGGAAAGAGGATGTTGTTTACAGAAACAGTCTGGGGTCTTCAGTCTGAACTGGTTAATATCTGCTTAGGGTAAAGATAGGAGCAGTTGTTTTGGGGGTGACTGCCTGGTCAATAAATCGGGAGATGAGGCAGAGGACTGCTGGTCTGAAACTGAGAATGAGAAAGATCATAATTAGTGGCCCTAAAATAGTAAATAACCAAGGAGGCCAGGGATCGAATAAGGACCAGGAATTAGATGATTTGAGATTTGTTTGTCTCTCTTTGATTC